GGATGATTTCTCAGTATTTGGTGCATCATTCAATTAATGCTTAAATTACTTGAGGTTGGTATTGCAGAGATGTGAAGAAACCAATCTTGTGCTTAATTGGGAGAAATGCCACTTTATGGTTCAAGAAAAAATTGTGTTGGGACATATGATTTCAGCTAGGGATATTGAGGTCAATAGAGATAAAGTACAAGTGATTGAGAAGTTCAGCAAAGGAAATTAGAAGTTTTTTAGGACATGCAGGTTTCTATAGGCTCTTCATTAAGGACTTTTCAAAAATAATCAAACCTCTTTGTGCTTTATTGGAAAATGACATGCCCTTTTCACATTTCAAAGGAGTGTTTGGGTGCCTTCAACACCTTGAAAGAAAATTTTGTTACAATAACTATCTTAGCTGCACCTGATCGGAGTTTACCATTTGAATTAATGTGAAACGTAAGTGATTTCGTGATTGGAGCAGTGTTGGGACAGTAAAATAATTAAGTTTTACATGTTATTCACTATGCTAGAAAAACTCTTAGTGAAGCTCAATTGAACTACATGACTACATAAAAAAAATCTTATAGTGGTAGTGCCAGCCTTTGATAAATTCAAACCTTACTTAATTGGGTCAAAGGTGATAGTGTATACAGATCATTCAACGATCAAGTATTTGCTTAGTAAGAAGGATGCAAAGCCGAGACTCATCAACTAGGTGCTTCTACTATAGGAATTCGACTTGAAAATCTAGGATGAAAAAGAAAAAGAAAATTTAGTAACAGATCATCTATCTCGTTTGGAATAATAAGACGAAGATCCTACAAATGAAATTAAAGAGGCATTTCTAGACGAGACTATTTTTAGATCAGGTCAACACCTTGGTATGCATACTATGTCAATTATTTGGCCAATTTTGTTATTCCTTTGGAGTACTCGAGTGACCAGAAGACGAAATTTTTTAGTGATTTGAAGCACTACTTTTGGGATGATCCTTTTATTTATAGACGAGATCCTGATCAAATCATTCGCTGTTGTATTCCGAAAGAAGAACAGAAACAATTATTGAAGTATTATCACTCTTCTCTATATGAAGGTCAATTCGCATCAACCAAAACAGGAGCTAAAGTCTTACAATCAGGTTTTTATTGGCCAATTTTGTTTAAAGATATGCTTATAAGTTAGTAAAGAAGTGTGATAAATGCTAGAGGACAGGAAACATCTCTAGGAGGAATGAATTCCTTTGAATGGCATTTTGGAAGTAGAAATTTTTTATGTTTGGGGTATTGATTTCATGAGACCATTCTCTTCTTCATATGCTCAACAATATATCTTGGTGGCTTGGAATATATGTCTAAATGGGTTGAGACTGTGGCATCACCTACAAATGATGGAAGGGTTATGACTTAATTCTTTAAAAAAATATATCTTTTCTACGTATGTTACTCCATGGGCTATTATTAATGATGGTGGGAAACAATTTTGTAACTACTTATTCTCAACTTTTTTGGAAAAATATGGGATCAAACATCAGGTTGTAATGCCTTACTATCCACAGACTAGTTGCCAAGTTGAGATATCCAATAGAGAGTTAAAGGAAAATCCTAGAAGCTACAGTTAATGCATCACGCACGTATTGGTTGAAGAAGTTAGATGATGCACTTTAGGCATATCGCACTGCATTCAAAATTCCTATCAGGATGTCTCCGTATTGATTGGTGTTCGAAGGATCACAAAGCATACTGCGATACTCGCATGTTAAATTTTGATAATAAGGTAGCCAGGAAAAAGAGGATCCTTCAACTAAACAAGCTTGATGAGTTTAGATTGGGTTTTATGTGAAAATGCAAAGTTATACAAAGAGAAAACTAAAAGATAGCATAATAGATACATTATAGAAAAATAATTTGTAGTTAGGCAACAATTTCTCATGTTCAATTATTACCTCAAGCTTTTTCTACGTAAGCTAAGATCGAGGTGGTTAGGACCATTCATAGTACTATCTGTATACCCATATGGCACAGTTGAGGTTGTGACCCAACATCAACAACAAAGGTTCAAGGTCAATGGACAGAGGTTGAAAGCTTATTGGGGTGGTGATTACTCTCATGAGAAGACAATTCTACCATTTGAGGATCCAAAATAGCTTAAATAATAAAGTCGAGCTAAAGATTATAAACAAGCGCTTGTTGGAAGGCAACCCAATCTTCTTCTCTTTTATTTATTCAGTTTTCTTGCATTAGTTAGAATTTTTCATATCTTTGTGTGTTTAAATTAATTTAGGTATCTTCATCCACACATTATGATAGTTGATTATGTGCTAATTCATATAAGTTTACAGTAGCGCTTACATTAAGTTTGGGGGGCTCAATAGCAAAAATAGGTGATTTTGTGTGAATTATAAGTCAGACAAAGGGTCTTCATGCTGCATTATCACATATGATCCCTTTTGACTTTGTGTAGGGAGCATGACTTAATGGTGAGATGAGTAGACAGATGTACAAGACATATTAAGGACATGCACATCAGGAAGGAGATCATGTATAGCAAGACGAAGGACGCACATAGACAAATTGTATGTATTTATGATGTAAGTTCTGTGCTCTTGATCCACTTATCCGTGTCGGACCCGTCTAGTACTAGAACTTTCTTGTCCACCCATCCACCACCTACGGACTAATACCAGGAGAGTACCTCATCCCTTTTTGTCCTTACTTTTTGTTTATTACGTGCACTATTTCTAGACATTGAGGACAATGTTTTTTTCAAGTTTGGGAAGGGTATTTCACTGAGTCTTTTGTTTTAAATCCTTCATGTTAGTGCGCAAAAAAAAAAGTATATTTTTCAGTTTCGTTACTTCTTTTATATATTATTGCATAATTGTGTGGGTTAGATGATCTGTTAACAATGATGAATATATTGGAGCATAGAGTTGGTCTGTAAATTATGGATAAATTATGTGTTAAGTTAATTTATGCTTAGTCATGTGATACTACATATTTTGGAGCACTAGATTTATGTTTTGCATTATGAAGAAAATTTTGATTTATATTAACGAGTAGGTGGAAATTAATTGATTTTGGATGCTTAACCTGAACATCCATTACGTTATACATCCTCAACCAATTTTAGGATGGCTTGGGGGTGATTGAGTTGTTGTGGGGAGTCATAGAGATAAATGTAGATTTTATGTGTGCTAAGTTTTATGTGGATTATTTGAAATTAATAAGATGAAACGAGGTTGAAATCTAAAGTCAGGAGTCAATTTTTGAAAATCAGTGTTTAATAAGAGGTATTGCACTAATTATTGCAAAAAAAAGTGTTGTCTTATTGTGAAATTTCTCTTCGTAGTCTTTATTACTTGAGTGATTAAGCCTACAAGGGTATCTATAAACCTGGTGTCCTATGATCATCTAACTTGAAAGTCATCGGCCAAAAGCTCGCTTCAGAGGTCATTTAGAAAGTTTAATAAGGAAAAGTTCAAACAAAAAATTAAAAAAGTGAGAGAAAAAATATATATTGCTATAGGCTTTGATTAAGCCACAAACACTTTGCTGAGATAATTAGACTTTTGATGAGGGATTTTTAGCTTACTTGATTCTTAGAAATTGAAGCAATAAAAAATAAGGAGAATCTTCATTTGTCGTTGTGTTGAGATCTAATTAGTAAAATCAAACCATACTAGAGAGAGTGAAGATTAGTTTTTATTAAATTTCAACCTTAGATCATGCTTTCGGTAAGATGGAGGGAATAAAGCTTTGAAGCATGCATCTCACAAGCGATGTAATGAAGTATTTAGCCACAGAGGGTCAAGAAGTGAATCAATTTATAACTTTGTGATGCTTTACATGAATCTTCACACACATGCCAGTTTTGCATTGGATAGATAGAGATTAATATGACATTATGATTTTGAAATACTTTATAGTTTCAACTCTGAAAGTCCAATCGTAAGTTAACTAAGCAAGTTATCAAACTAAATTATTTGTGAAAATTCTGTGAGTTAAGTTTTATTTTGTTCGAAGACGAACAAATGTTTTAGTTTAGGGTGTGAAAAGTGCAATTTATGCCATATTACTAAACTTTTATGTCATCAAATTATTAAATTCTACATAACTTGTGTTAATTTTCTTTTGTTTTCAGCGATTGACTCTTTTGAAGGACGTGGAAATAGATGAAGGATAAATTGGCAATTGGATGAAAATAGGGATATAATATTTCACATTCTGGAAATTGAAGAGGACGTTGGTTGCACAATTGATGAACTCAAGGAGTACATTGCATTAGCTTGAAAGATTGGATGACTTAAAAAAAATGATAAATTAAATGGGCCTAATTGTTGGACTTGTATAGGATTCAAAATCATTAACGGGAATCCTATTAATACAAATAAAAGTGAGCTTGTGGGAATTCTATGAGAATAAAATAGAAGTTGGATACACACACACACACACCCCCCCCCCCCCCGCCGGAAGAGAAGAAAAAGAGAAGTTGGCGACTATGAGTGGATTTTTTATGTACACGTACACGGTAGAAAAAAATAAAGACACACGGAGGCGGCCAGAATTTTGAAAGCCGAGATACGCTATATAGAAATGGGAATAAAGGATATACACATACACATAAAAAGTGGGCGGCTGTGGAACAAAGAAAAACAACAGCTTTAATTTGAAAAATTAATCAAGTTTCGTCAATCTTTGGTGATGTCTTTATTCTTTATTTGTTTAATTCCAACATTATTTAGGTCATGACTAGAATAGAATTAATTTATCTCGAAAAAGAAAATTAATTATAATATAATTATCGATTATCAAGAATGCAAGAACGAAAATTGCTATATAATTGATAATTGGAATAGATAATAATAGGTGGATTCGTAATCCAATACACTCATCCAATATATAAACAAAAATCGAACTTTACAAGTTTTAGTAGATTAATTTAGAATAATCACAAACTACAGTCACTTTTGTTTTGCTTACTTTGAGTCTTGTTAAAATTAGTACACTTGCAGGTTTAGCATGAATATCTGAGACAGCAATTACGAGGTCACCTGACTTAATCATCCCTTGGGCCTTGAGCAAGGAGAAAGTCTTGTTGAGGTTGCTTTCCATATCATTTGAATAGCTCAAACGGAATGGTATGAGACCCCATTGCAGGTTCCGACGTCTGCGTATAGACTTCGAGTTAGTAAATGTGAAAATTGGATAGTCAGGTCGACAGCATGATAGAATAGATGCCATGTTACCAGTCTTCGTGTAAACAAAAATAGCATCCACCCGTAAATTGTTGGCTACATTATAAAAGAGTGAATTAGTACCTTTAACAAGAAAATAATAAAATAATGGATTAAAACCCATATAGTAGGAGTTCTAGATTCAACAATCTTTAACTGCATTCTTAGATTATATTTGTATAGTATTTCATCTGAGCAATTGGATTTTAACAGTAATTAAAGTGGTCGTCAGTGCTTGCAATAAATACAACTTCTTGGTAAAAATAGAGAAATATTCACTTTGATAACTAATCATGAGAAAACTGAAGACAAATACTTATTAACCATCTTAGCAGCAGAGTTGCAAATCTCCTCTGAAATGCTGTCTGACAAGACAAAGCCATCCCAGGAGTTATATAGCTTCATTATGTTTCTTCTTTGTCCACCACCTTTGGAGCCTTAGACTCACAATTCTTAAAACAGTCAATGCCTTCTCAGGGTACTAGCCCATGGCAGACTCACCAAAAAGCAGTAAAGCATCTGACCGCTAACGTACTGCTTCAGAAATATCAGCCACTTCAACAACTAACTGGCAACAACAACATGCCTATTTAATTTCCTGTAGATTTGGAATCTTCTCTATTGTCCTGATTGAACTTTTTCCAATGGAATTTGAGCACCTAGATCGCATCTTGCCAGCATAGCACCATCAGATGTTTGAATGGTTTTCTTCAAGTTCTTCAATGAATCAATACTTTCTATTTTTGGAATAACAGATATGTCACTGCATCTCATCATATGTTTTGTGTGTGGTTACAAATTTCTATTTTTTCACAAACCAAACTAACGAAAGCCTTCTTGCTGAAGTTCGTGCATGATCTAAATAAACTATGCATGGACTTTGGGGACTGTTATTACGCCTCGTCACATATGGCAACATGTCACCAGGGCTCTCTTATCCACATGGCCAACAATAGAGGCTCCTTGGTGAAGTAGCCGACCTACTCAAAGTATTGGAACTACCTCAACAAAGCTTCGCACAATAGTCCGAAGCCCATCCATTTCGCTAAAGCTGAAGTTCTGAGATAAAGAGCCTCGGACCCCTTCATCCAGTGATGACCCGTGTAAGGAAGATCCTGGACTTACGTATGAAATATTTCAGAAATGATTGATGGGACATCTGTAATGAGTTTAAATGTCAAGTCTTGTAAACAAAGTGGCGGCTCTATGTAAACATTGAGTATACTACATGCTAGTAGGTCTAAACAGGTGCCTATGATTAGATGCTGGGATTAAGGAGATGAGACCACATGTATTTCCATTTAATGGCCACCATTTCGTTTGTAATGCTATAAATACCCCGCCAATGTAACATAGAGGGACTAATGCAAATCAACACACTTAACAATATTGTTTGTTTTTCTCTTGCTAAACATCCATTCATTTATTTTAGCTTGAAGTTAGATAACTTTGCTTCCTTGAAAGTGTTGACGATTGGTTATTATTTTACAATCAATCAAAATATATATACATTGTCGGATCTCGAATACATTTGTCTCATACTATAACGCATCTTCCATGTCCTAGTCCGAAGTATTGTCAACCAGTATCCTATCCATGTATGTCGAAATCTACATACGTGTGCACGAGTGCGACCGGTATCTGTTATTCACATAGTCCCAAAGGACAACTAGGTCAACAGATTGACGTCGTTTGTGGGATACCATCTATAACAATGAAACTCCTCCTGAAAAAGCTTTTTGTTAGAAATTTGGGCATCCCCTTGAAAGATAAAGAAGAGAAAGCCCCAAAAGTTTGAAAAAATTTGAGCGTTTTGGGTTAACAAAAGATGAGTTTTGACAGTGACGTTTTCCTTAGGAGAGTAAGGAAAATACCAACAAAGTTTTGCCAATAGTAGCTACAGCGCCTCGACGCCGACCAACTTACTAGGGAAATAGCTACTATGATGGCCAATATAAGAAGCATTACCAACCAAAATTTAACCATACAAGAGCTATTGAAGCAAATGCAAGGCCAAGGGGATTATCCAATTCCCCCTTATGCACTTCCAAAGCCATATCCATAGATTGATGAGGTGCAGAGTCAAATGGCCCAACCTTCAAGGCGTGCTCAAGAAATTAGTCCCATGGAAATAGAAGTAGGAGTTGATCTTTCCTTCAACCATAGTAGGCCTATCGAGGCCCCGTTTTTCATGGAAGATAATTTCCCATCAGAATACGAACAAAAAATTAGGCCTAAAAGATTTTGCAGTGAATTTGATAGGATTAGCCTCGTGAAACTGAGGTATAGACAACCTCAGCTACCTACAGTACATCATAACAGACCACAGTCCCATCTCACATGACTTGGTAACCGGAGAGAAGGCAAGAACATGTCCCTATGCTGGCCAACCTAGAAATAGGCATCAAAGAAGGGAAGAGACGGCTGAGAATCAAGCTGATGATGATGATGATGATTTAGATGAACTCCAGTGATCTTGTGACTTGGATGACGATGATGGAAATTTACCCTTTTTACAAGAATTGAGAAATGCTCTCATGCCAAGCCATAGGACCTACCTCCAGTTGATAGATCACCAGTGAGTCAAGTTGGAAACGAGATTGCTCTCAACTTGGCGTAGGAAATTGCTATAGCCACTTTGAATGCAATGCCCACTTTAGCCTATGAAGACTCCATTCCCGGGACCAATGTATAACAAACAGGAGTGAGACAACTGGCCTCCCTAAAGGTAAGAGGCTAAGGGCAAGGTTCGGGACCTAGAGGTAGGTAGAATCCTTTCGAATACTGTACATATCATCATTTCTATAGTCATGACATGACAAATTAAGGGACATTGCACGGTACCCTAGGCGAACGAGTCCCTGAGATGGGCGAAGGATGATTTTTCCAAGGAAAATAGGCCCCCACCAAGACAAGATCAGCCTACTCAGCATGAAAGGCCACATCCTGCCATTGGAAAGGTTTTCCTCGACGGCAACAGGAGCGTGAAGGCAAAAGGCCGAGAGACCAATAACAACGTAGGGGTTACTAGTTTAATGTGAAACATGCCCCAATCCACAAAATCGACACAATCTTTGGAGGTCCTTATGTGGAGGTGAAATAAGAAATGGGCAAAAGAACTATGCCACAGAGGCCAAAAGGCCCTCTGCTGACCAGTTACATAGTGGATGATAGTTGTTGAAGGAGCCAAGTACTACCGATCATATTCACCTAGGAAGATGTAGAGGCTATTCACTTCCCGTATTCTGACGCCCTTGTTTTGGGACCATGGAGGCTCGAAATGGGCTAAAATGAATGCTAGTAGATAATGACAATTCCGTCGACATTTTCTTTAGAGCCACCTTTGACTTTTGACAAAATGGGGAAGTCACTTCAAACGAGTCTAAACTTTCTAGAGTTCTTGATAGTAGGTAGTAGATCAGCCTATCATGGGGTCCTAGGAAGGCCAACTTTGAAATATCTAGTAGCCGTCACCTCAATCCACCATCTATACATGAATTTTCGACCGAGCAGAGGATATAGATGGTTAGGGATGATCAAAAAGGAGGTTGAAATGAAAATGATGGATATCCAAGGTGAGCAAGGTTTCAGACATCAGAATGTCGTGATGCTAGCGTCCCCGATGAAGTGTTCATATTGGACAAGTTGGACTCCCCGTGCGATTGAACTCGAGCCCCAAGCAGCTCCAGTTGATGAGTTGGAAGGTTTTCCAGTAGGCCCTTTAGATCCCACTAAGTTATTGTAGGTAGGAAAGGCCTATCATAGAAAATCAAAGAGAGGCTCAAAGACTTCCTACATAGGAACCTTGATGTCTTTGCACGAAGGTACGAGGATATGGTGGATATTGACCCCAAGGGTCAACTGTTATCACTTGAAAATTGATCCTAAAGATGTCCCACATAGACAGAAGAGAAGAGCTCTCAATTCAGAAAAAAGTATTAGGCCCTGAAGGAAAAAGTGCACAAATTAATCAAAAATGGCTTCATCAGAGAGACCATATACTCGAAGAGGATCTTCAATCTGATGTTAGTGAAGAAGTACAACAAAAAGTGGAGGGTGTGCATTGATTTTTCCGATTTCAATAAAGCTTGCCCTAACAATAGTTCTCCCCTTTTGTGGATAGACCAATTGGTGGGCTCCATGGGCATGAATTGTTAAACTTTATGGATGCTTATTCGGGCTATAATCAAATTCCATATATCCGGCCGATGAGGAAAACACATCTTTCATCACTAATAGGGATCTTTATTGCTACAAAATGATGTCTTTCGGATAAAAAAATGTCGAGGCCACATATCAAAGGCTTGTTAACAAGATTTTTACCAACTTTATTGGGAAAACAATGGAGGTATATGTGGACAACATGCTCTTCAAAAGTTTAAAGACAAATGACCATGTAATGCACCTATTTCAGATCTTATGGAGGTACAGGATGAGGCTGAACTCCCTAAGATGTACGTTCGATGTTACTTCTGACAAGTTCTTGGAATATATGGTCAACTAAAAGGGCGTAGAGACAAACCTCAAAAGATTCAAGCTTTGATGAAAATGAGATCCCCTAAGAAACCAAAGGAGGTGCAAAACCTAACAGGCTGTGTAGTCACCTTAAGTCATTTCATTTTAAAGGCCACCGACAAATGTCTCCCCTTCTTCAAGGTTTGAAAAGAGGTAAGAAGTTTTAGTGAATGGAAGAGTGTGAAAAGACCTTTCAAGGGCTAAAAATGCATTTAGGCTAGGCTCCACTCCTCTCAAAACCCAAGCTTGAAGACGCCCTACAACTTTACTTTACCATTTCCAATGAGGCCATAAGTGCAGTCTTAATTGGAGAAGAAGGCAACACTCAACTGCCTATCTATTACATCAACAAAGCACTTCTAGTGCCTAAAACTCACTATCTCGACATGAAGAAGCTAGCCTTAGCCTTGACTACAACTTACAGAAGTTGAGGCCCTACTTCTAAGTCCACACAATAAATGTGCTAAACAACATTCTTCTTAGGCAAGTGCTTCAGAAATTTGATGCTCGGGAAGGTTATTAAAATTGGTAGTAGAGCTTAGTGAATTTGATATTCACTTCAAGATAAGAGCTGCCATCAAGGGCCAAGCCCTAGCTAACTATGTGCCTGAGTTTGCCAATGTCCTAGAGATGGAAGAGGCAATGGAGCCTATTAAACCTCCTACCTGGAACCTGCTTGTAGACAATTCGACTGGAGAAGCGAGCTTGGGTGTTTGTGTGGTCCTAGTAGCCCCAAAGGTCACAAGTTGAATTCTACAATGCGGTTCAAATTTAAAGCCACTAACAATGTGGCTGAGTATGAGACACTGCTTGTCGACCTTCGGCTGGCCAAGGAAATACAAGTGAGAATGTTGCTCATCAACAACAACTTTCATTAATTGTTAGCCAGGTTAACAACAACTTCGTAGCCCGGGATAAAAGTAATGTTGCATACCTCAAATTGGTGATTGACTTACTCCTTTCCTTCAAAAAATTCAAGCTAGCCCAAATCCCACGTGTTGAGAATGCCCATGCCAATACATTGTCTAATTTAGCTAACAGTAAAGACTCAGAACTGTTGACAATGGTTCCTTTTGAGCACCTCTTCAAGGCATCCATTGTGAGAGAGGAAGTAAAGAGGATAGAGAGAACCCCCATCTGGGTGTAATATATCAAAGCTTATCTAAAGAACTAGGTCCTCCCTAAAAATAAAGAAGAGGCTTACAAGCTAAGGATGAGGTCAGCTTATTTTGTGTTTCTAGACGATGT